CCTATGTATTCATAGACCTCTCTAAATGTGAAAGCTAGTGTCACTTCATTCACCACTATTTATTGGAAAGAAAAAAATACCACTTTCAGTGAACCTAAACATGTAGACATAGGACTTCATCTTCAGCAAGGCTCTGTTGAATTGAATAAGTTGCTTGATGTATATTGCAATATACATCTTGTAATAACTATAACAGTCAAGCTCCATGGTCATAATCCTCAGTGTGAGGAAAGTTCTGTACATAGGATTGCACAGTTTATTTGTGAAGAGTCAAGTCATGACTCTGGCCCATCTATGCCAACCTTTAATGCAGTTTGAAGCTAGCTTCAAACTGCATCAGCCAGACACCCAACTCCAGACGGTTCAGGTGCAAGATATTTGGCCGACTGCATCCCCTTGTACAAACCTAGGCCCCTTGTATGAACCCAGGCCCCTGAGATCTTCAGGAGAGGCCCTTCCCTCGGTCCCACCTCCATCTCAAGCTCAATTAGTGGGAATGAGAGAGTGGGCCTTCTTGGTGACTGCCCTTCGACTCTGGAACTCCCTGCCCAGGGAAGCCAGAATCCCTGCTGTTATTCAGGCAGGCTTTTAAAGAATAAGGTTTTTAAGATTTTCCGGGGCTGCTGTGATTTTATATGTTTTTAATGATGTTTAATTCTACTTAAATACTTGTATACAGGGCCGTAGCCAGAAAAAAATTTCGGGGAGGGTTGACAATTTCGGGGGGTGGGGGGTTGAAAATTTCGGGGAGGGTTGAAAAATTGGGGGTGGGGTTGAAACCTGCCTCCTAGCTCATGCTGAAGCCAAGAGCACAGTGGGGGCAGAGCAACCTTCAATAGCCTGCAGCTCCACCCCTGTCAACTACCTCCACCAAGTCTGGCCTCCTTAATGAGAGCATTCAACACACACACACCCAACTTGATTGCTTCACTACATCGGCTATTGCTGCAAGTAATGACAGTGTGAATAAATTGTCCTAGCTGAGATAGTGCTTGCAGTTCTGGAGGGACTCTTAATTTTTTGCATCTCATAGACTTAGCATGGGGCTTTTGTTAACCAGTTAAAATTCATGAGTAAACCAGGTTTTTTAAAAAAAATCTGAAACATTTCGGGGGGGGGGTTGAACCCCTAAAACCACCCCCTCGCTACAGGCCTGCTTGTATACTTGTATATTTTCAGTTGTATTACAATGCTTTTAGTTGTGAGGCGCTTTGAGGCTCCGTATGGCAAGAAAAAGCAGGATATAAATAAACATAATAACTCCCCCAAGATGCACAAAAGAACCCCTTAATGTACATCAGTGCTCTATGGTTCGTATAATTACCATCCAGACCTAAAACTGCTATCTTCAATAGTGGTTTGGAACTGCATTTAATTATCAGTGTAGCTGGGCCCTTGGTTCCATTGTGTGCATAAGCAGGAAACTGGGGGAAGAGGAAGAAATGTATGCATGGATGTTTGTCTTCATATGCAGTCAGGAACCAATAATAGAAACCTTCTTAAGTTGCTGCTGGTAAAAAAGGTGAGGATATTCTCAGAGTTCAACAGCTGGCAATTTGAAGCCTGGTGTGATTGACATTACTGGAGTCAGTATGGTGAGAAAACTACACATTAAAACTAATTGTAAAATGGCATATAGTGTATTTTCTATAGCTTTGTATTTTATAATAAAACTTCGGTGGTAGATGAGTCCTGATCAGTTAAAAATATCCTTACTTTAAACTCTTGTTTTGAGCCACAGTTTGGACAGTTTTTAAAGAAAATTATTCAATTGAAAGAAAGAAAAGAATGAATGAGTACATCTAGTACAGTCTATAGTTAGCAATGCTGGATCATATTTAGCTGTTATTAATTGAACTGGAACTTATTGAGCAATATATGAGTAACAGGATGCTTGATGCAGTTATTGGTATAATATTTCAATGATTGCTTCTCAAGTATTGCCAGTCAATGTTTATACACACCTACATTTCAAAAGGAACTTAGTATTGTGAAAAACATGCCTGTCTAACATATACGTGTTTAAAAATTGATTGGGAATGTGTAGCCTTCCAGCATTTTTGCACTGCAGCTCCTATAAGCCTTCACCATTACTTATGATTGTCATTTGAGTATTTCAATTGAACAAAATCTGAGAGTTCTATATTCTCAGCCCTACTTAATGGGGCCATCATTGCTTTGGAGAGTGGAAAAGATAGATCAGGAAATACAAGAGATTGTCATCTACTGGGATATCTCTGAATGAGTTGGAGTATTTCACGTGGATGCCCTGTATTTAACAATAAAAATCACTACCCTTAAAATGGTGCTGATGAAATGAAGAAAGCTGCTGGGAATAACTTTTTTATGTAGAAGGACTGTTGGCTTAATTTAGTTACCAGTCTAAAGGTTTTTAAATTGCAGATCTATGTGTTTAGCTATTGGATCTCAAATGTCACGTTAAAAAATCAAATTAGTGAGTTTTAAACTTTTAGCATAGCTTGTTAGCATAACGGTTTTAAAAGAATGGGAAATTGGTGTAATTAAGAGGTACTACCCACAATTCAATATTTATTTACAGAGAATTACTGTGTCAGAATAGTTTTAGTTTCAATCAGTCAATATTGGAAGTAGATTATAGATGGAACCTGTTCGGGCTAATGTATTTCACCTGCCTAATATGATGACATCTGCATCTGCCTATTTCCACCGGCACTGCTTTTGTATCCATTCAGTAGTCCATAACATAAACAGATTTTTTTTTCCCTCAGAGATGTATGCAAACACAAAAGATGGATATCTTCTTTTAGTAAAAAGTGTTCAAAAAAAGGAAACCAGGCTTCTAATTTTTGCAGGAGAATGGGATTGTGTGTAAAAGGTCAGGAATTGGCCATCAGACCATCATAGTTGTATACCCACATGATACTATGATTTTGGGACCTCCTTTTGTGCAGCTTCAAGGCTATAGAACCAGTGTTACCTGGATCATTGATGATTAGGAGGATACTATTCTTATAGTTCGTAAGAGCTCCTTTGGTAGGAAGTTATTTTCATTTCCATAATCACATAGCATTCATTGGCTTTGTGATGTGTGCATTCTGAAATGTAGACTATATTTTTTGTACTTTTATATGCAATATGTACAGTTCTTGTGTACATAATGTTAAAAAACAGTCCTATTTCTGCTTATAATGTTGCAAATTTTTTGAACAAATGAAAATTTGTTAGTATTTGCTGCATCGCAGACACCATTTTTTTGCTCTATTACATTTATCTCATAATTCCATATGTAGAAGTGATTTTCTGTGTTTATATTGAATATAGTGAATATAGTGATTAGTGTCAAATCACTATATTGAACAAAATTATGCCACATGTCCCAGAGTAGAGCAGGGCACCTTAGCTGTGATAATAGTCTCCAACATTGATTTGATGCTGATATTGCAAATACAGTATATACAGTATACGCTGACCCGAATATAAGCATGCATATATATATATATATATATAATTCAATTTACTGGGTAAATGTATTGACTTGAGTATATGTCGAGGGTGGGAAATGCAGCAGCTACTGGTAAATTTCAAAATAAAAATAGATATCAATACATGTACATTAATTGAGGCATCAGTAGGTTAAATGTTTTTGAATCTTTGCATAAAACTGATTTAAGATAAGACTGTCCAACTTTGATTAAAACATTATTCTAACCTCCTTCAATGTAAACGTGCTTATGTATCCTTCCAATAATCAATGTTGTTTATTTTAACTATACATTTGGGGGGAAATGCTGTGTGTATATAAATGAAAAAAAGTGGGGAAAACTGGTGCTGAGAGAGGGGGAGAGGAAGGTGTGCACTGCACCGAGGGAGGAGAAGAGGAAGGTGCACACTGCGCCGAGCTAGGAGAGGAAGGTGTGTGCTGCAGCGACAGATAAGAAGAGCTGGGTTGTTACATGGAGAGGTGAGGGTCCTGGCAGGAAGGCGTGGGGCTGAAAGAAGCCAGGAGTCTCACCCAAGTATAAGCTGAGGAGGGTGTTTTCAGCCTAAAAAGGGGCTGTAAAACTAGGCTTATACTCGATTATATACAGTATGTACAATTTGGCTTGCTCATCTCAAACATCCTTGGCTACTTACAAAAACTAAACGTATGGTTTTGTATAATATTCAGTTATATCTTCTCCTTTTTCCCAGTTTGCTAAATGCAGATTTCTTTCTATATGAATAAAACAGAACAAACTGTTTTCCGTATTTAGATTGTTAAGCGTAGCAAGGCAGATATACTCTGAATACCAGTTACAGCTTAGTGAGCTCTTAAAATGAGATCATGTTTTTGTTCTGCATATTAGAATAAAAACATTAGTTATTATAGAGGAAGGGGAAAAATCAAAGAACAAGATGTGAAAAGGTCATTAAAATTTGCATAGTCAAATTCCTGTATTTTCCATCGACAGAAAAATGTTGATACACAAAATAATTAATGATAGACATCAAAATACTACAATCGCATTAGTTGCCATAATAATTGTGGTGATGTTTTTATAATAGTACCAGGGAAATTAAGGGATAACCATTACAGAGGAGTCTTGGACATTTTTGCCTATTCTGAAGCGTTATTATGAATAAATAGTGAGTACAACTGTGATTTTCTAATATAGTTATACTTCTAAAGAAAATATTAAGTTTATATAATGTGCAGTGGACATTTGTTCACATTTCTTGTAGATGCACATACTACCATTTTGTTATTTTTTAAAAAATACTGAACACTTAAATATGCTTTTAGAATTCACTGTTTTTCATATACAGAAACATTTACACTGTCATGCAATATAAGACAATCTGTGAAAAAACTAGTAGAAAATATTTGTTTTGCAAGGCATGTCAGTTGACAGATTATCCAGTATCACAGCATTAGATCTGATTTTTGAGTCGTTTGTTGGTTATTTAGAAGAGTTGACATAATACCAGTTTTTATTTACAGATGTAATTTTACTTCAGATGTTCTGTTTTATCTTTAGATCATGGAACTTTGTGGTGCAACAAGACTTGGATACTTTGGAAGAAGCCAGTTCTACATTGCTCTGAAACTAGTTGCAGTGGCTCAGTCTGGGTTCCCATTGCGGATGGAAAGCTTAAATTCGGGTAAGCCTTGAAATAGGCATTGAAATATACTTGTTTGGAGTACTAAAATACTGCTGTTGTATGATTCTTCATACCATTGGCTTGATTCCTTAACGAAATCTATTAAGAGCTTCTTTTCTGTGATTGGTTCTGCTGTTCCTACAACATAAGACAACTCTGTTCTGAAGCACCAATGAAGCTTCTAACTCCTGCAACTCCTAACTTGCCAACACCTTCAATTTTGGAGCAACGTATATCAAACTATATACAATGCTTCACATAAATTTGGATGCATGTTAAAAACATATGGGTACAAAGTGGGCACTCAGCATCTGCTGGAGTTTGGTTTCAGGATATCCAGTAGATATCATAACTTGTGGGCGTTCAAGTTGCATTATATACAGTATTGTTGTAAAATGGTGTCTTTTATGTAAAATGGTAAAATCAAAATTTGCTTTTTAAGGAAAAAAATGTGGGGGAAATATTTTCAAGCTATAGGTGACTTAACCTGTGGATGGAATATTAATGGATATAAAAGGCGAACTGTACTTGGGAGCACTGAGTTACCACTCATAGGTACAGGGAAAATAATGGGAAAGTTTGAATTGTGATAGATTTTTGCATGTTCCAGGAACTGTAGTCTTATGTTCACTTAGCATCTTTTCATAATGGCTATTGCCATAGTGGTAATCATAGTGATATGTTGCCAAGCAAAGCCCAGAATCCTGTGACAGCTTAAAGACTAACAAGTACATTAAGGTAATTGCCAGGATGGAAAATATATTCAAGCGAGAGCCTTGAGCAGAACCTCCTGCCAGTGTGTTTGAGAAAGACAGAAGCAGGTATGAATTTGTTAGCTGTGCTCTTTATGCTCACTACTCTTTCCATTTGGTGCATTTGAATGCATCACTTCTGGAACAATACATTTTTTCCCTTTGCTTAAAAATTAAAACGTAGCAACAGGTTCAATATGCAAAACGTTAGGAGGATTTTTTTCCACCATAGGAATTTCCGCCATATTTGGAGTTAGTATTGTATTATATTATATTATATATGTATATCAGACATCGGCAGATTTTTTGATATGGGGGCCGCAATGTGTTTTAAATTTGACAGACAGGCCAGAGGCAGATGGAGAGTGTTTGTGTGAATTAATAAAAATGAAATTCTCATGCACATTGCATACATCGTGTTTGTAGTGTGAAAAAGAAAGAAAGAAAGGACAATACAATATTTAAAATTAAGAACAACTTTAACCAACGTAAACTTAAATGTATTACAGTGAAAGACCCCAGGGGTCATCCAACGCAACCCCCTTTTGCTCCCAGGAAAAGCACAATAAAAGCAGGAAGAGGAGGAGAAGGAAAGTGCAGAACCCTTCAGTATGCCTTGCAAAGCCCCAGAGGCTCCACGGAGCACACTTTAAGAACCCCTGCCCTAGAGAATGCTTGATTTTTTTTCAGGAGTGATTGGGAAGGCATAGCCTTCCAAGCTTTTTTGAGAAGCTATTGAAACCCCTTACTCTTTCACATTTGCCCACTCTTAATCTTGCCATATTGTGATCCATTGTGTCCAGAAACCAAGGATGTAGAGGTCAAAATTATTGCCTATGATATTCATAATTATTTTACTGCATCTTTTAAAAAAACAAATGAAGGCATGGAGTAACCCTTAGGACTACTGAGTTTCCCACCATAATCTGTCCTAGAATTTGCTGGAATTGAGCAAATATTTAATTATAAAAAACCCCTCATTGACATATTGCAGTGTCACCTGGACTGTTTCTCTTGAAGTTAAACCAAAATCAAATAACAGGATAAACATAAATTTGGATAAAACACCTGCAGATACAAATGAGATGTTATAATCTACCAGCTTGTGCTGTTGTGAGATATATAGTAACTAGAGCTTTCCCTTGCTAAGGAGTTTTCAGTTGTCTTGGAAAATTCCATTACTGATCACATCATGAGTTTGGATTCTGGGTTGGAAATTCCGTTTCCTGAAATCTGGGGTGAAGAATGAACATAAGTAATTTTTAACTTTTAAAAATTAAAATAATCATGTGCATTGTTATTTTTAACAGTTAAAGACCTTCCTCTGCCCAGATTTGTGATGTCAAAGAATGAACAGGAATTGAGGCATTCATATTCTTCAGATGCTGATAACTCATCCTCCTATTCAGGTGCGATTCCTCCCCCACCAGGCAGAATACAAGTTAAAAAAGGCTCTGTGAGCCATGATGTAGTCCAGCAACGTTCAACGACAGATCAACAGGTAATGAAATATAAAGTCTAGCACTTGAATATTCACTTCTCATGCGTGTCACTTACCAAAGGAATTCAAAGTATTTCATGTACAGTGTTCCCTCGCTACTTTGCGGTTCGCTTTTTGCGTACTTGCTGTTTCGTGCGTTTTTCCCTCCTCAGTCCTCCCCCCCTCTCCAGCTTTGAAGGGCCTTTCCTTCCTTTTGTTCGCTCTCTCTCTCTCCATCCAGCGAAGGGAAAGGCAAGGAGGGCTTGCTTCCTTTCCTTCCTTCCCTGACAACCACTGCATTGACAGGGAGGCGGGGGCGGGGAGGAGGGGGAAGAGGAGGAGAGGAAGGCGAAGAAGGCACATATGAACTGGGAGGAGGAGGAGTAGGGGAGGAGGTGGAGCCAGCGGGAAGTGTGGTGTTCAAGGGGAGGGCAGAAGGCAGGAGGGCGAATGAGTGAGCCGGCCCTCAAGAAAGGAGGAAGAACAGCCTTGGCCAAGCACCGCCTTTTCTCTTCCCCCATCTTTGCTTTCTGGGAGGGAGGCGGTGCTTTCTGGGAGGGAGGCGGGGGGGAAGGGGGGCAGCAGGGAGGGAAAGGGGGAGTGAGGAGGAGGAGGAAGAGAGCAAGGCGAGCGAAGCTCCTGATCCCTTTTCTTCCTTGCCTGCCAAGAGAGAGGGGCTTTCCCTGGTCAGCCTCTCCAGCGCCTGGTCTGGGCCTCGCTTGCTTCCTTCCCCTCCTCCTTCTCCTCCTCTTAGGCCCCAGGGAGGCCTCAGAGGGACGTCTCGCGGGGAGGGAAGGACCAGGACCAGGCTCAGCTGTCCACTGGGGTCGGGGGCTGGATGTTCCTATGCAAGGAGATGCCGCCGGGGAGAAAGGAGGGCCTGAAGAGGCAGCAGCACTGGATCCCGGGGAGGAAGCAAGGAAAGAGGAGAGGAAAGAGAAGGTCAAGGGACTGAGTGTGTGGGGGGGGGGGAGGAAGAGGAGTGGGTGGAGTGTCCCTACTTTGCGGATTTTTACTTATCACAGGTGGTCCTGGAATGTAACACCTGCAATAAGTGAAGGAACCATATAGTTGCGGGTAACTTATAATTAGCTATCTTGAGAAGTATTGTAATTTATAGTGTATCATAAGTACTTTCCTAAAATTTCGATTATTTATAGTCAAAATACAGTGGTCTCTTGGTATTTGCTGGGATTTGGTCCCAGGACACCCCCATCATCCTCAACCAACACCACACTGGATACCAAAATTATGTACAATTGCATAATAAATTGGTGTCCTCTATGTATAATGGCTAAATCAAAGCTGCCTTTTAGAGGTTCTGGAAGTGGAGGGCGGGAAATATTTTTAAGCCATGGATGGTTTAAGCCATGCATACATAGGGTCAACTTTACCTCCATTAATAACATTGATGGATTGCTGGAATAATACTTCGGTAACATAAACTTTAGTGCCAGAGATATCAATAACCTGGAAATAATGGGGCTTAATTCCTGACAAAAATAAGTTAAACATGTTTCAGTAAGCATTTTATTCAAACCTTTAACAAAAAACACACACATATCCATAGTTTCCTTTTTTCTTTCACCAGCCTCTAGCTTCCTTCTGATTTTCATTTTGATGGTCAAGCTTGTAGATTTTTTTTCAAAAAAAAAACCATGTAACTAATGAGACATCTATATCTGCTCTCTTTTCCCCCTTCTGCTTTTGCTCTTTATGCTTGCTAAGGGATTCTAGAGGCAGCTGCTGTATATCTTGTCTGTTGTGAGAAGGTGCACACAGCTAAGGTAGAATCAGCTAAAGCAGAATTCCATTATTTCCCATGTCAGACTGAATTGCATTGTTTGCTATAGACATATTACTGCAACCTCACAACCTTGCTTACAGTGTCATTGTAGCTGAAACAAATCTTTTTCATCCAAATAAAGGATGCTAAGGGAAATGTTGAGCAGGCATAAAAGGGTTTACAGAAAATTTGTTAGCTGAGATATGTCTGTATTGTAGTAAGAAAAATAAATGTACTAGCAATGTTTTGTGCCCCCAAGGTATCTCATTCTATGTAGATCTTTTGATGCTAAAAGTGGAACTGTGTGATTAAATGTGAAGTTCTCAACATAACTTGGTACTGGAAGAAATCTTACTCCTATTTGGAAATAATAGCAGAAGTGGTTTTTCAAGAAATATAAAATAGTTTTTAATAAATAATTGAAGTTGCAGCAAAGATAGAAGGTGGTGAATAGGAATGGACCAACTATTTATTTTAATATTTCTATACTCAAGTGTGTGAGAAGAACTCAGGGCAGGTTCCAGACAGCAAGAGGTATAATACTTTTTATTTTAAAAACTATTTTAAAACTCTTACACCTTTTATTACCCTTTCACAAACCCACAGTCTAATCAGTCAGTGGTCCTTAAATCTCAAAAGCTTTCATAGGAAGTTTAATCATAGCTCTGTAATGCGCACTAGTCAGACCTCTTAAGGGGAGGCATTCCACAGCTGCAGTGCTACAGCACCATTGTTGTGCTGATAACCACGGGGCAGACACTTCTTTGGGTATTGTGGTTACTAGCTGGCTGGGGTTCCTAGCCTTAGTCAGGATTCAGATTGGGCTCTAAAGGGAAATTGTCTTCCTCAATATTGAAAAATAGTGTTTTTGAACTCACTCGCAGGCTTGTTTTGGACCTTATCATATATGTCAATATGAGTAACAATCCAATTTTTCTCCCAGTCTTCTGTGACTATCTGGTGCTCTATCTGCTTATTCGTATTTCTGCTTACTACCCTTTCATTTACTTTCGTTACTTCTGCTTTCTTTCCAGATTCAGGGAATGCAGGGTTATTTAGTTTTCCAGATGTCAGACCTGTGCCCAAGTAGCAGAGGATGTCAGGATGTGAAAGAGAGCCAAGGGGTAGAGAGATAGTTGAAAATAGTAAAAGAGGAAGCACATCAGTTACACAATGTAACAAAATTTGAAAAAAAATCTGTACCAGGTTTCAAAGTGTTATTCCCGCTTAATTGTGTGGTACTTACTTTGAAAGTATTGTTTTACTCCAGAAACTTTGTTTCTGTGACTGCCGCTATGTTGAATTGGTTGAGACTAGTGAAATATTCATTGAAAAACTATAGCAAAGTGTGCTGCAGGATGTCCTACAGAAAAGTATTTGCAGTTTAATAAACCTTTTCCATGTTTTTATGATAGAACCAATTAGGAAATGACATTAATGACCCAGGAACAACAATTTTGATACATAGTGTTGTTTTATGCAATGAACTTTAAGCTGAAGGAGACCTTCTGAAGTTGGTTAAGACTATTAATGTTTTGTTATTTTGTTATTTCTCATTATTCGTGGAATTGTCTGAACTTGTTGTCTTGCATATGTCACACTCCCTTTCAAGCATTTGTTCTTGAAATTTTGTTGATTTCTAGACACCAACAGTTGATAAAACAAACTAACCTTGTGCACCTTAAAAGCCTAAAGTTTTATTTGACATATATATATGTGTGTGTGTGTGTGTATAATCTTTATTAAAGAAAAGGTTTTGTTTAAAATTGGGTTACAATAAAACATCAAAGTCATAAATAAAGCATAGAATAAAGGTATACTTTTCATGGCTTCTGCCTAAGGGAGTATCTACAGTGTATAATTTAATGCAGTTTGACATCACTCAACTCTGAAACTGCCTAGCCAGGAAAGCCAGAACGAAAGCTAGAACAGTCTTCTCTCTGCTGCTCTTTCAGCAGCAGGCTAGAACCTTTTTATTCAGGCTGGTCTTTATAGAAAATTTTAAAGATTAAGTCAGGAGCTGCTGTGCTTTTTTTTAGCTTTAAATACATTTTTATGGTTTTTAGTTGAATTTTAATACCACTAATATTTAATTCTGTTTGTATGTTTGTATATTTTAAATTGTATTGAAGTGCTTTTAATGTAAGACACCTTCCTTGTAGAGAGAAAAAGTGGGATAATCTGCCATGGTTCAATGCTGTAGAAAGATGGAAATTGTAGTTTGGTGAGACACCTGCACTTTTTGGCAGAGACAACAAAAGACCTTATAAAATTACAACTCTCACGATTGTATTCCATTGACCAGTGGCAGTTAAAGTTCTGTTAAACTGCATTAATTCTACAGTGTAGAAGCCCTCTAGGTTTTCAAATGTATGGCACTAGTGTAAGTAGCCAGATATATATAGACATGAGTTTTTAGAAGCAGAATGTTGTCCATGAAAGCTTATGCCAAATAAGCTTTAAGGTTTTACCAAACCTTTAGTTGTTTTTGCTCTGGAAATGATTGTGTGTTTCGGTCTAAACTAGATATTCATTGCTAGATATTTATTAGCATTTTAGGTTGCAGCTAAACCTAAAAAAACCAAGATTATGGCAACAAAAATTATTGACAACTGGGAAATAAAGGGAGAAAACGTGAAGGCAGTGACTTTGTATTTCTAGGTGCAAAGAATACTGCAGACACAGACTGCAGCCAGGAAATCAGGAGACGCTTACGTCTTGGGAGGAGAGCAATGTCCAATCTTGATAAAATAGTGAAGAGTAGAGACATCACACTGGCAATGAAGATCCGCATAGTTAAAGCAATGGTATTCCCCATAGTCACCTACGGATGTGAGAGCTGGACCATAGGGCGAAGGAAGATAGATGCTTTCGAAATGTGGTGTTGGAGGAAAGTTCTGAGAGTGTCTTGGACTGCCAGAAGATCCAACCAGTCCATACTTCAGGAAATGAAGCCCGAGTGTTCATTGGAAGGAAGGATAGTAGAGGCAAAGATAAAGTACTTTGGCCACAACATGAGAAGAAAGGAAAGCTTAGAGGAGACAATTATGCTGGGGAAAATGGAAGGAAAAAGGAAGAGGAGCCGACTAAGGGCAAGATGGATGGATGGCATCCTTGAAGTGACTGGATTGACATTGGAGCTGGGGGTGGTGATGGCCAACAGGGAGCTCTGGCGTGGGCTGGTCCATGAGGTCACAAAGAGTCGGAAACGACTGAACGAATGAACAACAACAACTAGCCTAAAGTTTTTATATACAACTAGCTGTACCCGGCCACGCGTTGCTGTGGCCCATTGTGGAGAAATGGGAAAGAAAGAAAAAGAGGAGCTGGTTTCTATACTATCAATACACAATTGAAGTGGCAAGGTATCAACCTAATATAGGCCCATTTCAATCTCCTCAAGGCCAAAGGGTTACTCGGGTAACCCAGGGCCTGTGGAAGGGCCCTGGGTTACCCGAGTCCACACTGCCATATAACCCAGTTCAAAGATATTATATAGGTATTATTATTATTATTATTATTATTATTATTATTATTATTATAGATGTATAGGCATGTAGATATTATTATTATTATTATTATTATTATTATTATTATTATTGTTATTATTATAGACAGATATTATTATTAATAGCATATAGTTATTGTCATTATAGATGTATAGATATTATTACAGACCTATAGATATTATAGGCATCTAGTTGTTGTTGTTGTTATTATTATTATTATTATTATACGTAGATATGATATAGCTGTTATTATTACAGAGGTGCAATGGGTTAAACCCTTGTGCCGGCAGGACTGAAGACCGACAGGTTGCAGGTTCGAATTCTGGGGAGAGCGCAGATGAGCTCCCTCTGTCAGTTCCAGCTCCCCAAGCAGGGACATGAGAGAAGCCTCCCACAAGGGTGGGAAAACATCAAAACATCCAGGCAGTGTCCCCTGGGCAACATCCTTGCAGACGGCCAATTCTCTCGCACCAGAAGCGACTTGCAATGTCTCAAGTCATTCCTGACACAAAATGTTTTTAGAGGTATAGATATTTGTATTAGTATTGGCATAGATATTCCTATAGGCATATAGATATTATTATTATTGATATGATATTGCTATTATTACAGACGTATAGATATTTTATTATATGCATATAGGTATTATTATAGATATAGATATTATTGACAGACAGATATTCTTATAGACCTACAGATATTATAGACATCTAGATATTATTATTACAGACATGCAGATATTATAATAGACCTATAGATATTATTATTACAGACAAATATTATTATTAAAGAGTGATATATATTATTATTGTAGATATTGTAGCCCAGAGTTACTATGAAGTAAAAATGGATGGCCATCTGTTGGGAGTTCTTTAATTGTGCCTTCCTGGACAGCATTTCCTGTTTTTAATACCACTTTCTTTGAGTACTGGACTTCATTTCCCAGAATTCCTTCCCATAGCTCAATATGGCTGAGCTTTCTGGGAGTTGAAGTGTGTAGAGATGTGTGTGTGTATATATACACATACACACTTACACAGACACACAGAATCACGTCCCTGCGAGTTCCCAGGTAGCCATGAGGCAAAGGGAAGGAAAGGGAGGGGGGAGGGGGTGGATCTGAAGGAGCGTGCTCTCCCTCCCTCCCTCCCTCCCTCCCTCCCTCCCTCCCTCCCTTCCTTCCTTCCTTCCTTCCTTCCTTCCTTCCTTCCTTCCTTCCTTCCTTCCTCCCCCCCTCCCTCTTCTGTTGGGCTTTTTAAAATGCCCAAGCAATAATGCAGAAAAGGAAGGCAAGCAGGCAGCACCTGCAGGAGGGTTGGCTCTAGATGTGAGGAGGAGGAGGATGCCACCTCTGTTTCTCTCTCGCTGGCAAGAAGGAGGTGAAATGCTTTGGACCAGAAGTGTTTGGGAGGGGAGAGGCAGGGACTTGCGAAAAGGATCTATGGACCACCTTTCTCTCCCTCTCTCAAGCAGTTCTCTCTCACACCTCTTGGGTTTTTTCCCCCTCCTGCGGGACGGGGGCGTCGTTTTAACGCATGCTCTATATAGTCATTTCGCTTTGTGGCAGATTAAGTTTTTTCTGGCTAATTTGGGGGGTGGGTTGTGTGTGTGAAGGACATAGATTGCTTTGGTAGGTGTCTTGTGTTCAAATTTGGTGTCAATTCGTCCAGTGGTTATTGAATTCTGTTAATCCCACAAACGAACATTACATTTTTAGTTATATAGAAGTTGGTCAAATTTCATTTTTCTTAGTGTAAATGTAGTTACGTGTTTTAGCCAAGTTTTGTAAAATTAGGTTTGTAAGATACTCTATTCATTAATGTTTATTGGAAAACACATATCACATTAGAGGAAAAAGTTGTCAGAAGATGTAATTCTTGTCAACGAGTCCTAAAATTAGGAGTATAAAGCTATTATATGAGTAAATAGGAAACCAGTGAACTAAGGCTTTGTAGCTACAGCTCTGCCCAGAATAATTACTCCCAGGTGTGTGTGATCTAGGGACCACCATTTATGTGTATAAATCTGCATTTCACATGTTGTTTTCCATATTAGCTTATTCTTGAAAAGTACTTCTTAGACACACTGATTCATCTGCAAACTGAGACAGATCTTCAAAACCAATATAAATTGCTCCAGATTTATTCATGTAGAGGAGTTCATTAGTTACCTTAATAAATGATACATGATGTTGGTATCCTTTTCGTATTTGCTGTAGTTTATCTTTCCCCAGTTCTCAGTTGTGAAATCCTGCAAAAATTTAGCTTTGACAAAAGATTACCATCCGTTCCCTTTTGTGTTTATTTTTTAATTCCATCTAGATCTCTTTGAAGTAATTGGCTGAAATTTTAATCAGGGCAGGAAGCTTAGCTGTGCTCTGTTTAGTAAGTGAAAGGAAGATTACTTCTGTGCAGTTATTCCAAGCATGTTCACTTTGAAATGAGATTCATAGTGTTCAATGCGATTTGCTGCTTAATAAAAGTATTATAGTTGAAGTTTTTTCATTTCTGCAAATCTGCCATGTGCAGGTGATTTCTGTGTAGCATGTGTGCCTTTCACCAGCATCTCCTGATTTGCCTGGTTTGGGTAACAACCCATTTGATTATTAGCTTTCTTCGGTATGGGATGGAACGGACAGAATTTGGATTGGTGCCACTTCTACAGAATACATCCAGAATCTTGAAGTAACTCAGTAAAATCAATGACATTATTTAAATATTTTTTACAGTAACTAGGGCATAACAATCCTGTTGCATAGTAACAAAACTGTTAGCATTGTTATGTTCAACATAATGAGTTATTCCAAATATGCTTTGGAGACCCAAGGCCATTTTAAAAGAAAATTTAAAAATTACATGCATTTAAAAGTAGGAGCAAAAGTTGCTCATAAAATGGGAATATCTAAAACACTGATCCCGGTTAACATGACTATATCTTTAAATTCAACTAAAATATTAGTTCTTCAGAAAAAAGTAACTTTGCATGTTAGCTTTTGAAAACAATGGGCCATGTTCTGATTATATGTCTGTGGACTAAAAAGAATTCGATTGACTGTATAGCAATACTGATGAAGGGAACTCTTTTGCTAAATTCAATGGCATGCTCATGGTAGGATCAGAATTTTCGGCCCCCTCCTTTCACTTCTACAGTCTCTGACACTGAAAATCTCTTCTGGAGAGTTTGCCAATCCCCCCCCCCCCCATTTCTTTTCTGTTTCTGCAAAGCAGACTTGCCAGAAGAAACAATCTGTTAAATACTGCCCCTTGTATCCCCAGGATCTTGAATGGTGTTGGGGGATACAAAACTATTTATGTGTTGTAATATTGCAAGATTCCTAATGGAACACTTGAAGAGAATATGCCACAGATTTTAAGGAATCCGTTAAGCAAAACAGTTGGTTCAGCACCTATAATTCCCTCAATAGTGTCCTTCTGAAGATTTTGAAAGTGCAAAATCTTGAATGTGTAACAATAAATTATACACCCACCCACCCCACCCCCGCATTTCTTATGAATTGGGTTCTAATAATGTCCTATAAATGAAAACCTATGGAAAAATACAAAAATTAGATGGTCTTTGAGTTATAGTCAACTTTCATCAAGTTACTGCATGTAAATGTTTCAATGTGCTTAGACATTGTTTATTTTACAGTTTATGTTTTAAAATCCTACTTAACTTTAAAATGTTGCAATTATTCTTCAATATAGTGTTTTAGACAAGAAATTGCATAAAGACTTACTTTGTTTCATTAGGAATCAACATCTCCAGTAGTTTCACCCCAGCAGTCCCCACCAACCTCTCCACATACATGGCGGAAGCACAGCCGACATCCCAGCGGTGGAAATAATGAGCGACCTCTTGCTGCACCAGGGCCGTTTTGGACTCCCTTTTGTGAAGCACAAGCAGGTATAAATAAATGTCGTTCATTAAACTTTTAAGTGTTTCCTCAGATTGTGGAACTCCGAGCCCTTGGTATCCTCTGGGGTTTGCTTCCAGGACATCACGTGGATACCAAAATTCATGGATGCTCAATTATTTAGTAAAATGTTGTCTCTTATATAAAATGGCAAAATCAAAGTTTGCTATTTGGATTTTTTAAAAAACACACATTTTCAAGGTGTGGATAGTTGAATCTGTGGTTGTAGAATCCATAGATACGAAGGACTCGCTATAACAGAGACCTGTTATTTCCAGTATATGTAGTGATACACAGAATCTCTAGTGAAAAGTGTGTGTCTGAATACTGTTGTGGTCTATCCAAGTTTGCATTGAAAAAGACACCTAGCTCCTACACAGACCTTGGTTCAAGCTTCTAGAATAAATGTCTCTATAATCACATTAGCTTCAATGCTATACCAATTCCCTTCCATTTTAAAATAGCATTTAAATATGAAATGGGAAACAAGACTTGAAACTTATAGCCTCACAGTACATGTTAACAGTTTCTGATCATCCCATTTCAGAGAAATGTCATGGTGCATTTGTATGTCTCTAGAAGTGTTTCAAGGCATACTTTTTAATAGGTTGTGTGTAAATCTTCAAAATGAACTGTGTTCTGATTTTCAGGCTCCTGTAATGCTAGTGATCCAATGTGGTCTGGCCATTCACCACCACCACATCAAGAAACCTGGGTCAGTTTTGCAGATAACACACCAACCAGTACTATTTTAGCCATGCATCCTGCTTCTGTCCAGGTGTGACATTTTATTGGTATTTTTTTATTTGCTTCATTACGGTCATTTTCATATCGTTGCCAAATATTCATGCTGTGACTCTGAATGTGAATGTGTTTGAGAGTGATTTCTTACATATTCTTTCTATCTAAAATATAACAGTGAGTAAATTCTTGGTAAATGAATTGTTATATTAAAAAGCTGCCAACATTTTCAAATTCAAGCTTTCAGCTTTTTTGTGCTTAATTTTTCAAACTGCTATTTGCATATTTTTTCATAACTTTCTGTTGCCTACATGAATGTTGTCATCTCTGTCTATTTACATAAATGTTCAGAATATTTTCTTTAAAGCACTACCGACTAGCACTGACTAGAACACAACTAAAACTACTTCAACAAATAACAGTTGTTTCTTTTTATAGGCAAAAATATAGAAAATTATAGGCCACTGATGAATTTAGGTAATGCTGAAGAACAATCTTTCATTACAGGATCAGACAACAGTACGAACTGTAGCATCAGCTACAACGACAAATGAAATTCGTAGGCAGTCAAGTAGTTACGATGATCCCTGGAAAATAACAGATGAACAAAGGCAGTATTACGTAAATCAGTTTAAAACCATTCAGCCTGATCTAAATGGATATATCCCAGGTGAGTTCTTTAGGCACACATGTTGTAACAGGCATAACAGACACTCGTATAAGTTTTCTCCTGGTAGAGAGAATGGGTTGATTTCTAGAAATTCCACAAAGGGAGTTCCATTCACTTGAGTGCTCTCATCATCCGCCACAACATTGATGGAGTTGCATTGATTCACCTCCTTCCCTGCAGTTATGTATATCTCAAAAAAAAATATTGAATATGATTGAAGGACTCTGAATAATAGCAAAGAAGGCTATAGAGAGAAGGGGAGAATTGCCATTCACCTTCTGTTTGCAGTAAACTCTGCTAGATCAAATCACTTTCGGAGAATAGAAGGAATCTGTATGTTCATGGAAAGGCACCTTAGGAGCCAGACTTCTGTTTTTGTCGGTGTTAAAGATAAATCTAGAATTTTGTGATGAGTACTACACTAAAATTTGGGGGCAGAATATGACTCCTGAAAAAATAAGAGGGAAATTAATAATCCCAGTTTACTGTATCTTTTTTAAATCCTTAAGACGATAATTCTAAAATAAAAGTTAAATATTACTGTTTTAATATTTTCAGGATCTGCAGCTAAAGAATTTTTTACAAAATCAAAACTTCCTATTCTTGAACTTTCGCACATTTGGTAAGTGTGAAATATTAGGTTGGGGTAGATGCTTTAAGAATCACATCTGTGGAGTAGAAATGCCTAGCGAGAGAGACTTTTCATCATTTGCATTAAAACATCATTCAGTGTCAGTGATACTTGGAAACTTAAATCTATTCCCATTATGATCAAACAGTAAGTTCTATTTGAATAGACCTTGAACAAAATCTTGATTGCCCTGACCTCAAGTATAATACGTAGTGCTTCGTAACCAACTGTTTATGGGAGGCTTGCATAAAGTAACTAACAATCTGGATTCACCCTCTATTCCGTAAAAAGTATTACATTTTGTACAATTTTCAAACCAGTATTTACGCTGAAAACAAAGCTATTCAATATATTAAATAAACTTTGATATGGTGCTACTTTTCTAGCATTCAAATAATCTTTGTTTAACCTTATTGCATATGCCAGAATTTACCCATCTTGTGCCTATATGTACAGTGGCCTCATTATTTGGAGCAAATAACCATTACATTTGCCATTACATAAATTATCTATCTCCATACCAGTCTGGACACAAGGGGTCATGTGATCTTGAGTTCTTTGCTGTAGACTGTTCCCTCTTTCTCTCAATTTAAAAAATCCTGCTTTGTCACCAACATGACTTTCAGGTGTTTTTCTTGGTTTTCCAAATTTATTTCACCTTCATTTCCTTCCCTGAATCACAGACGAAAAGATAAACTAGGGGAAAACATTATCTCCCAGAACTAAGTTCAACATTCATTTTATGGTCAACATCGGTTTTTATCATATGGAAGAACAAAGAGGAATAGAACATCAGTAAAGGAAAGGTGGTAGAGAATGTTTGATCTGCAGGTGATTTTTTCCTGCAGATTGTGTCACTAAAACATTGTGTCACTAAAACATACAAAAAGTCCCCAAATTTTTGTATTTGCCATATCTCTACCATCAAATTGAATTTACCATATCTCTACCACCAAGAGTTGTATGGGATGCATTATATTGTTTCCACGAGATTTTTTTACTTTTTTAAGCCACCTCAACATCCAGATTTTCAGATTAGACTTTAAGCCATGGAAATATAGGAAAACAGACATCCTATTTATCGTGTCAGAAGTGAATTGACGGTACAGTTATAATGTATTTTATAAAAACTTGGCATTATACTAAATGTCCTTTGACAAGTAGCTGGCCACTTGGAGTGCCTCTGGTGTTGCTGTAAGAATGTCCTCCATTGTGCATGTGGCAGGGCTCAGACTGTATTGTAATAGGTGGTTTGTGGTTTGCTCTTCTCCACACTCGCATGTTGTGGACTCCACTTTGTAGCCCATTTCTTAAGGTTGGCTCTGCATCTTGTGGTGCCAGAGTGCAGTCTGTTCGGCGCCTTCCAAGTTGCCCAGTCTTCTGTGTGCCCAGGAGGGAGTATCCCATTCGGTATCAGCCATGGATTGAGGTTCTGTGTTTTAGCCTGCCACTTGTGGACTCTCTTGCTGAGGTTTTCCTGCGAGTATCTCTGTAGAGGTTAGAGAGCTATTTCTTTAAATCATTGGTGTGCTGTCTGATATCCGAATGGGATGGGCCAGAGATGCCACTGCCTTGGTCCTTTCATCATTGGACGCTACTTCCCAGCAGATGTCAGGTGGTTCAATACTAGCTAAATAGTATAATTTCTCCAGTGGTGTGGGGCGTAGACATCCTGTGACAATGCGGCATGTCTCATTAAGAGCCACATTCACTGTTTTAATGTGGTGGGATGTGTTCTACAATGCGTATTCAGCTGCAGTTAGCAAAGCACAAGGGCAGATGTCTTCACTGTGTCTGGTTGTGATCCCCAGGTTGTGCCGGTCAATTTTTGTATGATATTATTTTGAGCACCCACTTTTTGCTTGATAGTCAAGCAGTGCTTCTTGTAAGTCAGAGCACAGTCCAGGGTCACTCCCAGGTATTTTGGTGTGCTGCAATTCTCCAGTGGGATTCCTTCCCAGAGGTGCCACAGTGCTGTTGCTCAAAGTAGGTAACCACCTGCATGGTCTGATTAACCTCAGTGGTTAATTATAGTCACCATAATTGAAATCACCCTTGACCATCATGCTGAAAAATATTGTGCACTTGAATTTTCCATAGGGATTGGATTCATGGCTGCTATTTGATCTCCAGAAAAAAGAAGAGTGCAAAATTAATTTCCCCTCCCCTTCTTCTCCCTTGAAAAAAACAACCGTTTTTGTAATGAAGTGTCTTAAGGGCAATACAGTCCAGTAAGGCACAAGAAAAACCACTTCTTCTCAAGGGGATCTTCTTACAGAAAGCTTTAGGTGTCAAACCAGATTATCTGCGGACAGAAGGGGACAGAAGGATGTATTCTACCGTTTGGTTTTGTTTCTCCAGGTTTTCTAAAAGATACTTTGAGATCCTGCTCCACATAAAGCCCGAAATTAAGAAACAAAAGAGATATAATTAGAGAGACAAATGTCACTGGTTTTTGTTTTTTTTTACTCTCCTCTCCCATTCAAAGGCCCTCTCCTACTTCCTTGTAGGACAAATAATACAGTGATTTACTCAAAAACGGAAAGGTCAAGGAATAAACTTCACAAAGATGAATTTTTTCATCTGGAACTCTCAAAAATGATTGTTTTTAACTGGATTGTTCTTAACTGGGAAATGTACGGCACATCCCTGGTAGTTTTCACAGTTATTCATAGAGAGAGAGGGACAGAGAGAGAAAGGGCCCTCCCACGCAGCCCTATATCCCAGAATATCAAGGCAGAAAATTTCACATTATCTGAGTGTGGACTCAGATAACCCAGTTGAAATGCTGCTATTGTTTTTAGTTTTAGTGCCATTTGTTTCTTCCTTTAAGCCTGATACGAGCGATTGTGTATGAGTGAAAGACTTCAGGTTGCCAATCTTGCTGGAGCTCCCCCTAAAAGAGACAAATGTCAAGTGAATGTTTAAGAAATAAGAAGGCAAACCAGAAGGAAACCGACTGTTCTTATGTGATTTGAAAGAACTATATGAATAATGCTAAAGATTTCAAAAGTAGACTCTCATGGCCCTTCCACACAGCCCTATGTCCCAGAATATCAAGGCAGAAAATCCCACATTATCCGAGTATGGATTCAGATAACCCAGTTGAGAGCAGATATTGTGGCATTTTCTGCTTTGATATTCTGGGATATAGGGCTGTGTAGAAGGGCCCAGAGACAGAGAGGAAGTCCTGCACAAAGAGTCAGTTTATATGACTTGCCCAAAAGCAGGCAATCATCAGTGTGAGAACATTGTGGTATTTTCATCATGGCTAATGGCCTCTTGCTTAAAAAAAATACCCAAACTGATAATGAGAATCGCATATTCCTCCAGGTGTTCTTGGACTGCACCATCAGAAGTCTTATCCACATAATTCCAGGTAGGTAGGTAGGTAGCTTTTTAGTCATTCCCTCAACAATGTCCTACTTAGGACAAGAGAAAAAGAAAACAGGAAGATAATATGACCTGTTACTGAGTTCAGGAGCTGTGAGAGCAGCATTGCCCCAACAGTTGTCCCTTGTGTGCTAGAGTGTGATAGTTCTTTGCAAGTTTAGGGAATTAAACCAATATTTCCTCATATAAATATTTGCTGTATACTAAAACAGCAACAACATCACAGAATGCCTATCAGTCTTTCTTAGAGCAAAAAACGATCAAATTTCCCACTGATGCATCCACAAAATTGCATTTTGCTCCTCTGTGAATGACCGTGCCTTTGATCCAGCGGAGAGTCCTGCTAGCAGAATGGGAAGGGAGGTGATTTTTGACCATTCACTCTTCCTTGTTAACCCCCCCCCCCACACACACACACACACACATCAATTTGTTGGAGCCAGTTTTCAGAAGGCAAAGGACTTTATAGGAACTGTTTTTAAAACACCTTTTTCCTTCTATATGCCATGAGCTATGTTCAGATCTCTTTATCCAAGCTAGTATATTTTAGAATCAATGCCAGGCTCTGTAATGGTTTTAGATTTGTTTAAAGAAGCTAGCTCTACTAAAACTTTACATGTATTATACAATATTTGAAAGAGAGCTAGAGTTACATAAAACATTTTCAAAAGAATGTGTTTTAAAACAATGTTTAAAAATGGTAATTTTGTCTTTTCAGGGAGTTATCCGATTTTGATAAAGATGGCGCATTAACACTGGATGAATTCTGTGCTGCTTTCCATCTCGTAGTTGCTAGGAAGAATGGATATGACCTACCTGAAAAACTACCTGAAAGTTTAATGCCCAAGCTGATTGATTTGGAGGACTCAACAGGTAGTTTTCTTCTCAAACATTTACTACTTCATCACAACCTTCCTAATGCCGTGACCCCTAAATACAGTTCCTCATGTTTCCTCATAACCCCCGACCATAAAATTATTTTTGTTGCTATTTCATAACTGTAATTTTGCTACTGCTATGAATTGTCATGTAAATATCCAATATGCAGGATGTCATAAATTTCATTGTCATAAATTGAACATAATTAATGCATAGTGATTAATCACAAAAACAATATGTTTGGGGGAGTATGGACAACAGATGATGGTATTTGCAGTACCTTCAACCAATTCGGCTCTGACTTCCACAGCTGAGACCCCCATGAATGACAGATCTGGACCAAATATGGCATACAGAACTCCCATGACCAACAGAAAACACTGGAGCGGTTTGGGAGGAATTGAAAGTGAATTAGGGGAGATATAGTTCACCTACATTTGGAGAGCACTCTGAACCCAAACAACCCTGGATCTGAACCAAATTGGCACAAATACTTAATATACTCAAAGTTGAGCATTGATGGAGTTGCGGGGGATTGATTTTGTCATTTGGGAGTTGTAGCTGCTTAGATTTATAGTTCACCTACAATCAAAGAGCATTTTGAACTCCACCAACAATGGAATTTTACTAAACTCCCATGACCAACAAAAAAATACTGGAGAGGTTTGGGGGAGTATGGACAACAGATGATGCTGTTGAAGGTATTACAAATCCCATCATCTGTTATACTTAACAATTGATATATATTACTGTTAAGCACTTACTTTAAAGTTGAAATATCTTTGATGATGCTCTGTGCTCCCCCCGGCCTGCATGCACGGTGTGGGGGAGTGGTAGAGGACCCTTCATGCGCCCCCTGCGTGTAGCTATTCACAAGCCCCAGCATTCCACTGGCCATTGCCATGGCAGTTAGCTTGGAATCAGGCTGCTGTAAGTGTGAAGTGTGGCAGACCTCGCGCCGAGGTCCCCTCGCCCGCCTTGCACCCTCGCCGGATGGCGAAAGCGCGAGATGGGGAGGGGGCTTTGCGCAAGACCGAGGACCCCTTTCCTGCCTCGCACCCTCGCTGGATGGCGAAAGCGCAAGGCAGGGGAGGGGGCTTTGCGCGAGGCCTTGCACCAATGACGCCCCGCCCACCTCGCACCCTCGCCGGATGGCAAAAGCGCGAGGCGTGGGAGGGGGCTTTGTGCAAGGCCTTGCGCTGAGGACCCCTCGCCCACCTCGCACCCTCACCAGATGGTGAGAGTACGAGGCAGGTCAGGCATTTTTGCACGAGGCCAGGCCTCACGCGAAGGAGCCCTCGCCTGGCCCATGCCCTTGGGGCGGGGCCAACAGAGGCGGCCTCGCAACCCCTCCGAAATAGCCAGGCGACCCCCAGATTGAGAACTGCTGCACTAGAGAAAAAAAATCCGCTTAAAATCCAGTTTCTGCCTCCTGTGGAATTCTGAGGTTTGCAGTTTAGTGAAGCTGTTAAAGGCTCCTCCCTAAACTACAGACCCCAGGATTCTGCAGGAGGCAGTGGCTAGTTACTAATTTAAATACTATTGAAAGTTATATATTATATTTAATATGTACTTCTTTAAAATATGCCACTTTTAATGTAGGACTTGTTACTATCTTTTGTGAAACAAATAGTATTTCTCAGTCCTACAACAGGCATTCAAAAGAATGAAAAATCTCTCATATGTTTGTCCATTTTTCTCTCTTTTCCATACAAGTTATTCATGTTCAGGGTACTGCAGAGTAATCTAGGCTTAGAATATTGGATGTAGTCAGACTTTGTTTCATGCACTGGTCCTTTCTGTCTGCTATGCACATGGAACCAGTTTTATAGAGTTTTGGTGACTACTGTGAAAATGAGTTCCGTAAATCCATATTTGGATCAGATTGAGCTCTAAAACATGAATGGAAAGTTTGTCGGACTCTTTGAATGAAATGTTATTAATCTTTTTAATAATATATTTCGGTTTTAAAAGAGCCCAGTTATTCCACATTCTTAATATGATAATGCATATCCACTATTACTGTTTTGGACAAATGATTATAAATATAATGGTAGTAAAAACATATAGATTATATAAGCTTGCACATGTTAATGCCTCATGATAGCAGCTTCCTTTCTGCAGTAAATTGTTGTACTGCTTATTTGAATATTGTAGTTTGATCTGTGAGAAGTCTCATTATAGTTTCTGGAGTTGGTTGCACCTTATATAGTGTTGTCCTGACACTCTTTCACTGTGGGGGAGGAGAGAGGAAAACTTGATTCATCTGATCTTCCTGGTATTTGTTCGCATTTGGAGCAAAGCAGTATGAAAATACAGCAGAAATTGTACTTGGTACATGGCGCACATTCAGTCATACAAGCTGTTTCATTTTTGTAGCAATCTGAACTGAAGGTTAGAAATGAATTGAGTACTTGATTGTACTTTTAAAATTTGAAATATGAAACATGAAATTCCTATGATATAAGAACCTGCAGCAGAAAAGACTACACTTTGATTATTGATAAACAAAGTCTGTTTTAGAAGTTTAAGATGCTTTAGAATTCCAAGAACACTTGCTGAAATTGCAGCCTCTATAATCTCTGTAATAGTCCTGTTTGACACTCAGACCTTGCTAGATTTCAGCCAGGACTATCCCCTTGTTCATGAGCTATGACTTGGAAATAAGTTTCTGGCATTCCATTTTCTGTAACATTTAGCATTGGTATTAAATACATGAAATACAAAGTTGATGAAATACAAAATAGGTAAAAATATTAACAGATAGGAAAGCATTTTAAACTAAGTGCTAGTTCCCTTGTCTCCCATAAGTTTGAAAGGATTTCTTATTTGCTTTATGTAGCAAGTTGGATATTTTGTTCTTCCTTCCTACAACACTGCTTTGTACCCCATCCCAAGCCACTCTTGATAGTTGAGGGATCCCATGGAATAGTATATGATGGAGCAAAGTGAACGGTTGGCAAAAGGGAAGTTGGAACAACTTGGTGAGTTTGCCTTATGCCAGAAGACGGTTCCAGATGAAAGACAGTTAATGTAAATAAACAGATTTCTATAGTTGTTAAAGGAGGTTGATGCATGAGCAAATCATGGTGAATAATGACATGAATTCAAAATGGTAAGTCATTAATGTGCTGTTCTGCTTTGCATTCATAGTGGTTCCTGTGTCAGAAGTGGGAGATCAGACTGGTGATGTAGGTTATGCAGCTTCACCAGCTGAAGCACCTCCAAGCAAATCACCATCAATGCCATCACTAAATCAAGCATGGCCTGAACTGAATCAAAGCAGTGAGGTTAGCAAAATGGTCTTCTCATTTGCTGGAAGTTTCTTATTTTAAGAGTTCATGCATGGCATAATGTAGCTTAAATGCTATAATATCTTGATTGTCTGCTTCATTTTGAGGTTTCACTGGAGTAACTATTAAGGTATCTATGTCAGGGATGAACAGCTGTGCAGCAGCTAACTTGCCCCTGCATCTATCTGGAGGCTGCACCAATAAACTATTTAGAAGTGATGCCATGTTCCTTCTGGTCTACTTTTTCAGCTGAAAGAAATGGCTAAGCTGGTTTTGGATGTTGATGGATGGGAGAGGGAAAACACTATTTTGCAGTTGTTTTACTTTTATAGTTTGAACTGTTTGGGAGTGTAAAATCACTTTGAAAGTGGCTTGAAAATGTAGTGGAAAATGCTTGGAGGGCTTTGGAGGAACCACGAAAGTGAAATTCAGGACACACTTTCTGTTTCCTGATACGCAGTCTTGTTTCCAAGACATAATATTTGGGAATATTTGGGATTGTCGACATTTGCTCACTTGTATATCTTTTCCCAGAGGTAAAGTTTTGGTTGTGTCTGTGATTCACATAAGTGGAGGAAAGGTGTCTTATGCCTGCATTGAGTCACAAGTTGAATCTTCTAGATCTGGGTGATTTCAGCAGGAACTCTACCGCCACTTCCACTCTGTGCTTCTTTTCCTTGGGTCCTTCTCATCCCTTGTGTGATCAGCATCAGGGGAATGTTTTTGGTATTATGTTGTTCAGAGCCAACTTTTTTCTTTTTGTAAATACATTGTATATTTTTTAGCAGTCATAATTCATGCTCTTTTGTTTTCTGTTGTTGGCATAGTTCTCAAATCTGAATCGTGAACCTCATGGACCCTTTTCTTACTGTGCACCGGCTGTGAGATAATTTCAAAAGTTTGCTTTATAAGGGCATCACAATAAGGGCATCTTAAGAATTATCACCTGAAGTTGAAACTGGTTATTTATGTAGAGATTCAGTTAAATTAGTTTTGAAAAACCGTTCACCACACACTGATCTCTCTATTTTGAAGGCAACTTCTACTATACCAGTTTCCAAAGTGATGGCATCCTAGACATTTTTGGTTCAGATTTGCAAACCCATTAGGCTTTAGCAACATCCAAGCTCTCTTTAGACTTGATATTTTCTTGTCAGGATCCAGGGCTCTGCCAGGCAGAGGTTAACCAAACTGTTTCACTTAAAACAGAAACTTAAACTTTTGGCTGTTTCAAGTTCTGAGTCCAAAACATAAAGATAGCACACAAATGAAGATACAAAGCAAAGTCTAATTAACAGTGAGTGTACTGCAAAGCCAGTGCAGGAGCAAGAACAAATAGTAGCCAATGTTTTGCAGTCCCAAGAGTGAAATGCCAAGTTCCTTAATGTAGTGTGCAAGGTTTCAGGAATGCAAACCATAGTGAGAGTTCCAAAGGTCAAGCCAGATAATCAAGAGTCCAAGATACAGATTCCAAGGATTAAAAGTACAACAAGGTCCAAGATGAGGTTACAAGGTCAGTAGTGTCCAAAGCGAGGTTCTCACCAAGTTGCAAGGTTCAGCAAGGTAATAACACTACCCACCAACCTGGTGGAAAACATAGCCAGTATCCATGTTCAAGTAGAACAGATACGTTTCTCCCAAAGGGCAGTCTCTTTCAAAACTCATGCAGCTGATTACAGCTGCATCCCATTTCATCAGGCCTGCCTAAATCATCACTATAGCCTGTGAATTCTTACATACAGATCACCCTGACCTTAAGAACTAGGAGGAAGATTAAACACTTCCATACTTTCCACAGCATGACCAACCTGCTAAGCATGATACTATCTTAACCATCACCAGACTACCAGGCATTATATATATTAACCACCACCAACAGCTAGGCATGCCACTATACCAACCACCATCAGTTGTGGGGCATGACACTTCTACCTCCACATTTTTACTGATAGATATTAATTTCGGACAACACCTCTAGATAAACATCTAGAAAAGATTCTAGAACATGCACCAGTTTTGGGATTACAAGAGCACAAGGAGCCCCCAAGTAGGAAAAAATAGGGACAAGAAAGTTTGCAAAACCAAGGATGGGAACTCAAAGAAGCCAAGGGAAATCACTTGGATGTTAGATATTTGATACGCGTATAATTTTCTTCTGCTATGATTACATTGTTGTCCTCTGTTCCAGCTTCAGTACTGATAATTTTAGTTTCCACAACTTCAGAATAGCTACTGCTGTTTCACTGTGCTTTCCATCATTGCTGTCATATCTTCAACACTCTGAGTGTTCTTTATGTGGATGGAGTTCTGCTCTGATGAGAAAATTTAAGACATATTCCAGTGGAATGAGGATTCATCATGTATTGTTCCCCAGGAACCTCAACACTTATGAATGGATGTCCATCTCAGAAATAAGGATTTACTTGCAGACATTCCCATAATTTACACATATGCTTTAGAGACTTTTCAAAAATATGAATCAGTTTTGGCATAATCTAACTGGACTCCTCAACACCCAAGGAATCAGACTGAAGATACTCCCCATACACCTGATATTCAGGGAAGTTGTCACCATACACTATGGCTGCCTAATAATACTCAAAGTAACACTTGTAATGTGGTTATTTTCATTCACTGTATATTGTTCAGGATGAAGGCAATAGATATGGACATCCCTCGGAAGGGTTTCATGCCCCATGTCAGGTCAGAAAAAGTATTAGTTGATGGATGGTGCAGTCCAGCTTAATGAGGGGCATACCTTTTCATCAGTCATCAATTGCATTTAAATAATAATAATAATAATAATAATAATAATAATAATAATATTTATTTCTTACCTGCCTCTCCTCACTGCTCGAGGTAAGTTACACCATTTCTAAAACACATAATCAAAACACAATAATTTAAAAACACTCCATAGAATACACATATTAAAGAATATTTCCATAAAATTAAAACACATAAAACAAAAAATAGACATAGAATAGAAATTTAAAATTTGTCATTAAAATTGGGTAGACCTGCTGGAAGAATTAGGTTTTCACTTGTGTCTTAAATTCCGACAGCTGATCTAGTTGTCAGAGCTCTAGCAGGCAGGGGCATTTAGAATTCTCAGCCAGAGAGCTATCATATCTCAGGAAAGTACAAATCCGACAATTCTATAGGATGTAGTCATATCATTAAAGTGGAATCATAGTGCTATGATTGTGTAATGCCCCCAGCATCTCTTACTAAGCATGAATGACAGCAAAACAGAAAATGGGAGAAAACATAAGACCCCAGCATGTTACAAGGACATAAATCTTAAATTTCACCATCAATATGGAAATCATAAGAAAAGTGAAAGCTCATGAAAGAAAATGGCATCCCTGTGTGGATTGTAGTAGATATCTTTAAGTAGTCTCTATAAGGATATACTGATACAAGCCATACTTAACTTTATTATTGCTTTTCGTACTGTCATATTAGTTTTGAATAAAATATTTGATGGGACATGTTTCTCAATCTGGTACAAAAATGTATGTATTGGCCAATAATACACTTACTTCATTAGCTGAGATATACTTGCTCATTAGCTGAGATATACTATCACTTAAGAATATCTTCCCTGCTATTAGTTTTGCACAAATGACAGGTGAATTGACTGAATTGCCCATGGACCCTTCTTCCTCAGTATTTCATAACAATAAAGTGATGCTCAAACAAGACTTTTCTTTACTTCTAAAGGTTATTTCCCAGTTCCATTTGGAGCAATATGATATGTTCCCTACATTCATACAAAATCCTTTTCTGGGTCAATCTCTTCATTCTCTGGATGTCAGAAGAGCATTGACCTTTTTTGTAGTTGTACAGCACCTTCTAAAATGTAGTGCCTTGTTGAATATTCAGGTTGTAAAAACAGAACATCCTGACTCTTCAAAGAGAATATTGACATGCGTTGTAGAAACCCTTCACATCACTTACCAATTAGATAGGTTACCAAACCGGAAATATTTTGGAGACATTTTGCAAGAGTACTGGTTGCATTAAACAATCCCTGTGAAGGTTGTACTGTTGCCAGAGGTGTCAGAGCAGTGACATGGTCACAGCCATCAACCTTAATTTCTTACCACCATATGAATGTGAAATTGAAAACCTATGCCTCTTTTGGTTGGTTGATATTGTCCTCAATTTTGATATGATATTTAACACTCCTGTTATGAGTTGCTATCCAGTCACTTGTTTGAGTGACAAAGAGCAAGAACAAGTTGCTTATCTATAACTGGTTCTTTGAGTGGTCATCTTTGAACTCACACAACCCACTTTCCTCCACTTCTTTCCATGTGCTTTTTTCTTTTTCGTATTGGACTCAGACTTGAGGAAAGGCTCACTTGTATGTAATTAATGAGCGGGTGGGGGGCAGTGTTCCTGCTAAAATTGCCCAATTCTAGAATATTCCATTCGTGGCTCTTTGCAGATGCAAGCCCCCCTCCATTGTGCAAGTTGACCAGGTGAAGAACCAGTTGCAGGTAAGCAACCCATTATTGATATTTCTTCTTTTCCCTCAATTGGTCTTTAAAGGTGAGCTATTTTTATTCTGTTTAAAATCCATGACTTCATCAAAAAGTTAGTGTGTGGGTGTGGACTGTGGTGAGGATCAGCATTTGAGACAGGGCATTAGATTGCCTAACCCTAAAAAGTATGTGGAAGTTTTGCATTGTTTTAATATAGAGAAACTACCCTTTAAGCAGACATCTTATTTAATAAATTATGACTTGATCAAAATATTTATGCTATATGTAAGAAAAAATCCTCTGTATGACAGTCATATCAGATATTTGAACAAGCCTCTGCTTACTACAAATTTAGATCGGACTGTACTTTTACCATACATATCTTATTGAAAGGTTATTCAAAATTATGGTTACTGGGTATGCATAATCATAGTTGCATAATTTAGAATGATTGATTGTTAAAGTAGATTTATCATTGTTTTATCTAGCATTTGAGATTCTGTTGAAGAATCCTCGTGTTTTTTATTAATCAATATATTTATTGTGCTAGCCAAAAGGCTATGACAAAGAGCTATAAAATGTACAAAACAGAACATTCAAGATAAAAAAGGACAGAAGACACTAAAAAGGTTATCAAGCTCATGCAAAAAGGAGCACTTTAAATATTTTATATTGAAGCTTTATCAAGGTTTTCTAGTATGGTAAATATTTATGTTTACTATAAGAGCAGAATAAATATTTGTCTAGTGTTGTGTATATACTTTGAAATATAATGCAGCTTAAACTTCAAGTAACAATTTACTTAAGTAAAATTATTGACAGTAAATCACTGGAAACATACCCTAACAGAGAATAATTAATTATTACAAAAGTATTTTGGCTTTGTTTTTTAGAACTGTTTTCAGTAATATTTCTAATTAATGCTAATTTCAAAAGAACAGAAAAACATTAATTTGTAAACCTCTCCGAATTACCAATAAAGTTAGATATTTTTCTAAGTAGAATGATCAGCCTCAAACAAAGACCAAAGAATACAATGCATATTAAACGCCAGTACAAGATTAAGTTGTAGACAGGTTTATTGTGAGGGGATAAAACAAGATTTGCTTTTGTTTTGCTTATTAAAGGAGCAAGATAAAATACAACAGGCATCGAAAAAATCATTTGCCATAGAAAAATTCCTCATGTTCTTTCATTTTTCCACTGATAGACAAGCAGACACAAATAGGCAGAATCACACTGGGGTTGTATAATTCTTTATGTAGTCGTGGAATTGGATAAATAGGCAAGAATTTGATGTTGGCCAGGATCAACCACAGAGCAGTACTCACCCCAGGGGTGAGAAAGGTGGTATATAAATACTGTAAATAAAATTAAATAATAATAAATATAGCAAAACAGCAACTCACGATAGAGTACTTATTGCCATTGTTTGTAGGAAGTGAACTTATGACTCCAAGATCCTGATTTGATTTTTGGAGATTACTGACATAACCCTCAAGCACCTGTTCAAGGGAGTAGGGAACATCAATAGGAAGTTCTGAGTCTGAAATATCAGATATGTCAGTCATTATTTTTAGAATGGCTTTACTGGTTGGCAGATATGGAGAATAGTAATCCAAAACAACATTTATAGGTGTTTTGAGTATATTATACAAGGTCTAATAATCTCTTACATTTATGCACAGGAATTGTGCTGTCACAGTAAGAGCTCTTTTAACTTCTTAAAATGCAGACTGCTTTGAAGTTCCCTACATACAGTATGCTGCGGGAACTGTTAAGAAAATTCAGAACTAAAGATTCTTCAGGTTACAGTGATCTAATTCCACAGTTTTTGGTATTTTGGTATTTTTATTTTTAACATGTGGAGCATTTAATGTATTGGCATTATGTGATTTATTAACATGGCAGATTCTATTCTGTGCCTGTTCTCATGGTAGCAAATGCTTAATTTTAGACTCTTACTAATGACAGATTTCCATGCGGTAATTATCTACTTCGTATTAATCTACCTAAAATGTCTCTCATACACTCTCTTAGCCATTTGTGAACTGTTCTCAAATAGCTGTTCCCGTAGTTAGGTCCTGCTCACATGGCTAGTAAGTCAAACATTCTCCTAGCCATGTAGCAGCTATTGATGGGTAAGAAGTTTCTGGGTTACCAGGTAAACGTATCAAGGTTGCCTCAAATGGGTTTGTTGCTGTGTTTTGATTTGGCTAATAATTACTTAACATTCCACTAACTGAGAAACAGTAACATTTCTTTTCTGAGGATATAATCTAACTTTCTAATCTTAGAAAATATTTTAATTGCTTTGATGCTGAATTAATTGCTGTTGAGTCACTTGGGGAGGAGGGATTGAGCATGATAAACTTACTTGGCAGTAATATTTTATGATAGAGTATATCTTGTAGCCTGTTGAAATTATTGCCAAAACAGATTTCCTTATTGATTGACAGAGTTTGAAGTGCTAATCCTTTGCTTTGTTTCAATTATAAATTAAGTATTCCTGTGTCTGCATAAGATGTATTCAGATTAAAAGCATTTTCAAGAATTGCTTTCAAAAGTCGGATATGGTTCTCTTAATGCTTTTGTAATACACAATTTTAAAATCCAATATTTTATAAGGAAAATATAAAGCTAATTCTACATTTATGTTGTGATATGTAGAAAACAAAAAAAATAACAGCATCAAAGTATTCAGAGACTTCCATTTCTGTTGGCTTGATTATATTGATAAAATTGCATGCTTTCTTTCACATAAGCAAAATCTGACTTGCTCATACGATACTCATTTGGTGAACCCCTATAATACACGAGACAGCTGAAGACGCTTTTGAAAATATGAAAACACCTATCAAGTATGGCTTTAAAATTTGGGTATTGTCAATGTTTGGAAAGCCAACAACAGCTAGTGCAACCTCTGAACTAAGCTAAATTTTCTTTAGAGAACCTTTACTCTTTCTCTCATGCTGACTTGTCTTTCCTCTGTCTATTCAGCAGTGGGAGACATTTAGTGAACGCTCCTCAAGCTCACAAACCCTGACCCAATTTGATTCTAACATTGCACCAGCTGATCCTGTAAGTCAATCACTCAGCTTGCTTGATTTGAAATTAATTTTATTAACTCTGAATTGAAATTAATTGTGTTTTGCCTGTTAATGCATGGTTCTACAGCGCTTGATGGATAATGATGGCAATCCTGATTATCTTAATTTGACTTAACATTTACTGGAAGAGTTTTGTATTTGTACACTACTTCATATAAAAATGTTCATGATTTCATATTGTACATCTATGCAAGAATGGAAGAACTTTTGGAGCATTTTCACTGTGCTGCATGTCACCAAACTCTTATTAATTTTATCAATTGTAACAAATATATGCTATTAAAGAGCTATTAGTTGTGAGGCTCATCAGCTGCCTTGCACTGAAAAGGGGCTGACAGTTGAGAAATGTGGTGACTTGCAAAAAGGGTTTTTGGGGAAAAAAAAAAAAACCTCCCTGCTATTTTGGATAATTTTCTGCCTGAAAACTGGCAAACCACATTCACACACAACCAACCTGTCTAGAAACATGGAGGAGTTTTCCTCCAAAACCTCAGCTATATCCCTTTGTCATTTTTGGCTACAAATTGCTTGAAACTGATGACGTGAGTTGCCAGGACAAGTGAGTGTGTCTGATGGGGAAGGGTACACAGATGTGAAATTGCCCTTAACCTATACACACCCAGTGCCCTTGAAAGATGTGCCCAAATATTTAGAAGTAACAATAAATAGTTTACTGGTTCCTCCTCTGATCTTGGAGAAACGAACATGGATTTTCCATATCATTAAATAAAGTCTCCTTACCATACAATAATTACCGTTTGTGACATGCTAGCCCAGTGGCCATTAACGTACTCTAAATTTCAGTATAAAGATAATAATAATAATAATAATAATAATAATAATAATAATCTTTATTTATTACCCCATGGGGACTCGGTGGCTTACATGAGGCCCAAATGACAATTACAATGAAGAAAAACCAAAAACACAAACCGAAAATGCAAACAATAAACAATAACATCATAGTTACATAAAACATATGAATACATACCAATTTAAAAAATATGCACAGGCACGATAATAATGGGCAGGCTACATATAGTGATTAAAAGGACAAACTGATTAAAACTAATTAAAAGCTCGGGCGAGATCAAAGATGGAACCAGGTAAATTATGGAGGAGGGCTCATTTTAGCAGGAGTTGCGGAATCAAGCTTTCCCATGAAGGGGGACGTATACTCCAATGACAGAACTTTGAGGCAGAGCAATCATGTGGGATTATATACCTACTCATCAAAGGCGCTGATTAATAATTCAGCCCTGAGAAATTATTTAGAAGATCATATATTGTGTATCGATTCTTAATGAATGTTTCAAATATACTTTCTTTGGTCTAATGTTTTGCACCATCCTAAACAGTCTTTCAAATTATGGTATTATGCTCCTTTACAAACAATAACTTTCCAAAGTTATCAAAATATGAGTATAGGCAACTGGAGCAAGAGATCATATGAACAAATAAGATCCTGGAGTAATAATATTGCAGATTTTCTTGCATTGAATGAATAAATCTTCATGAGACCTCAACTTACATTTATGTGAATATGCATAAAATGCAGGAATTCTGCTGCGTTAGAGTTCCAGTTACACATATTACTCAGATTTAAATACACATTAATTGCAACTGTCCAAAACCTCTCCAGGAAATCTGGTATTACATGATGGCATCATCTCACGCATTCCTCCTTTTTATAGTCTTAGTAAGACACATGAGTGAAGAACTGCAAGAACTTCATCACACTTCCTTTCTGTAATACAACCTAAACACATATTATGGTATCACCATAAATAAAAACACCATGTTGAAGAAAGAATGACCATATTCTGCATTTGGGGGAGACATGGGTAAAACTGCCATGGCTCAATACTATAGAATCCTGGGAGTTGTAGTTTTATAAGGTCTGTAACCTTCTCTGCCAAAGCGTACTGGTGCCTGATAAAACCAGTAACCCCCATGATTCCATAGCATAGGACCACGGCAATGAATTGGTGATAATCTGCATTAATTCAACAGTGTCGATGTCCCCATAATCAGACAAAATGAGAAATGTAAAATTCCCCTAGAAAATGCATAATGTCTGTTTATATAGAACAAGGATTCTCAAACGTTTTCAGCCACAGAGCTCTTTTTGAAGCAAAAGTTTCTTGGAACCCCAAGAAATGTTTATATATTATTTTATATATTATATTATTATATATAGTGTATATATATCAGGCATGGGAAAACTTTTTGATGCATTTGAGTCCCCTCCGAGGTTGAGAAAGGCGGGATAGAAATTACATAAATAAATAAATGTGTTTTAAAATTTGACAGACAGGTCAGGCCAGTGGCAGATAGATGGAGTCTTTATGTGAACTAATTGATAAAAAACCTGAACAAATTCCTATGCACACTGTATGTATCTCCTTTATAGTACAAAAAAGGAAAAAAGGACAATTCAATATTTAAAATAAAGAACAATTTTGACCAACATAAACTTAACTGTATTTAAGTGGAAGACCCCCAGGGCGATCCAGTCCAACCCCCTCTTCTGCTATACAAGAAAAGTGCAATCAAAGCACCCCCTGAGCTGTGGGAGGGAAATAGGGTTTTGGAAACAAGGAAGGCAAAGGAAAAAGAGATTGGGTAGCAAGAGAGGCAAGAAAAAAAGGCTTTTGGGCCGAGGGAGCTGAGGAAAAAGGGCTTTTGGGGGCTCCCTGGAGTACATTTTGAGAACCACTGATATAGAAGAATCCATGTATATAACTTTACAGGGAATATCAGTAGAAGTGCCTGTCTCCATTGGCCCCACAGTCTAAAAACACACAAGCAACACAGAAACAATAGAAAGGAGTGCAAAACAGAAAAGAAGGCATGGTGGCATAGTATCCTTGGAGTGGGTCAATCTTGCTGACATTGTATTCATGATTTCAGCTTTTAATAAAAAAATATATGGTAACTTAGCTTAGAAATTTTGCTTTAAACTAAATGGATTTTATCTCTCTGTGTTGTAGGATACTGCAATTGTCCATCCTGTTCCTATTCGGATGACTCCAAGCAAAATTCACATGCAAGAAATGGAGCTTAAAAGAACTGGGAATGGTAAGCAGCAGTTATTACTCTGATCTCTGTCTCAAACTAGCAATAAAGGCTGGAGAGGAAGATGGAGAACCCCACTTCATCCATGAAGTACTTGTTGCCCAGCCTGCCACACTAGATGCCTGAAGCTAAAAACAGTAAACCAAGAAAACCTCAGTTTTTTGCTCTTTCCTATGCATCTCAGTTAAGATGCAACCTTTAAATATCTTAAGAAAAACAAATAACTTTCATTTCAATGGCTGCAATGAAAATATGCTTGTATCTCAACAAGCTTTGTGAATTTGCATTCTAATATTCGTAAATATTAATTTTTAAAACTATTCTACCATAAAGTAGTTGAAACAAGATTTAAAATTATTAACATATCCCTAAAATTCAAAACATAGGAAAATCACATTGTTTTTTAAAGCCTCATTCTTAAGAGTATTCAAAAAATGAATCCAGTTTGTCCTGATACCAGATTTCTTTTGGCCTCATGTATTGCTTTAGTTAAATCATGAACTCCTTGACATACTCAAGCTGATTGTTCTCTTAGAACCAAATTAGAAATCTTTCATAATGGGATTTGGAAGTAACTATAGGGGCCATCCAGTCCAACCTGCTAGGAAGAAATAGCGAATATGTTTTATTTCATGAACTAGCTGTCCCCGCCACACGTTACTGTGGCCAACCTTACCTCCCTCTTCCTCTCCTTTCTTCCTCTCCTTCCCTTTTTTCTTTCCCTCTCTCCTTCCTTCCCTCCCTTTTATTTCCCTTTCTCTTTTCCCCCTTTCTTCCTTCTCTATGTATTCTTGGACTACAACTCCCAGCAGTCCTCCTGATCGATCTATCTTCCTACCTATCTCTATATACACTATCTATCTGGAGGATTTGTGGGAGTTGCAATCCAGGAATAGGAAATTGGAAATATGCAGGAATTGGGATGCTCTCAAAGAAATCTAAGGAGAAGAAAGCTTGCATCTTGGAAGCAGTGCATTTGGACCTGGTCCAGGGGATGTTGGGAGCTGTAGTCAGGAAGAGAGTGTGGATATGCTATTGTGTGTTTTGTTTTCCGGGGGAGTAATTTTTGCGCATGCGCTGTAGCGTCTTTTTGCATTTTTGGCTTTTTTTCCCCTGTTTTTTCATGAGTGATGGTCACTCATTGACCTGATAGGTGTATTGTATCCAAATTTAGTATCAATTCGTCCAGTGGTTTTTGCGTTATGTTAATACCACAAACTAACATTACATGATGCTTATTTAATAGAGATGTAATTAGAAAGTATCAAACTGTGAATCATTTTTTCCATCATGTTATTAGTGAAATACAAAATATGACAGAAATCCAGTGTTGTTCTAGTACTCAACTACTAGTGTCACAGAACTTTCTATTCCCTCCTCCCTACAGCCCTCTAATGAGAAAGCTGGTTTCATAAAAGTTAACAAGACCACTAGAACAGGTTTGATGATGAAAAGGAGCTCACTGGATGACAGAGGTTTGCCCCTTCCCAGTCTGCTAATAAATCAGTTCTATCAGCTGAACTATTGCCTTGAGACTATTGATAGCTAATTATCCTTTCAGGTTTCATAACTTTGAATATGTATAGATATATACATAGTCAAATATAGATCTTTATGGAGTGAGATCTCCTGAAACTCCATATTAAATATTTTTTATTCTTTTTTAGATCACACAAATCCCACCAGCCCTTTACTTGTGAAGTCACCTGACATTGCAGAAGAAAATAAAATGAATACATCTGTAAAATTTGTAGGAGGAAATACAGTTGGCAAGTATTGTGTTCACTTTCCCATGAGAATGTCAGCCATTCCAATTCACTGAACATTTTCAGTAGCTACAACTCAGTACTAACTTGACTGCTCTAGTTTATGGTTCCATTAAAAATAGCCTATGATACTTTACCAGGAACATGTTTTTAAAGGTTTTGTGTTTGGTTCTGTAGCTGAACTTTTCACCCAAGCTAATCAGAGTTGGAAATTTTGTCCCATGAAACAAGAGACAACATTGTTGGAAATGTTTTCTAGATATTGTTTGCCTCTCTAATGCTCTCTTAGTGCTTTTTATTCTTTCAGTAGACATCCATAGATTAACTTGAAATGACTGAATACTGATTATAAGAATACAGAGTTTTTGAAAGGAAAGTGGTTGTGACATTACATGTGGGACTAAATTAATTTTAGGCATATGTTTGTAAAGAAACCTATTTTGCTGACTTTGTCAGTTATGTCCATCAAAGGCTACTTACTGATAAACTTGTACACTTTACAATTCTGAAGCATAATCAAGTTGTGTTTAATAAACACAACATGTGAGATTTTATTTTTCTTACATCAACAGATGGTTACAGCAGCTCAGATTCCTTTACTTCAGACCCTGAACATATTGGAAGCACTGTAACTAGACAACGGTAATGAGTTGCTTTCATTTTAACAATGTTGAATGAGCACACTTCCCTGAACCCCATCCTGCATCCTAAAATAAAGTTTAGTCTAATACTTCCTCTCATTGTATAGTGATAAGTAAAAAAAAATTGCATCATTTTGGAGGGAGTTGATTGCCAATAGTACAATTTTAGTGTCCATCTGATTGATTAAAGCAAACATGGTTAGGTATCTTTGGTAGGGAAAAGGGGAGAAGTAGACAAAAGAGCTGATGAACAATTCTTAAGTATTTATTTTTAGATTCCTAGAGCTGTATGCAATTAGCCATTCACAAAAAGACAGCTTTAAGTTATTAGGTTCCAGAGCAAACTGGAAAAAAGACAAAACTTTATATTTCAGTCACCTTATAATTCTAGTGGGTACATTTTTTAAAAAAGATGTATACACCCACAACAAGATTAAAATTTTAATAAAAGAAAAACTTGTAAATGAAGTTTGCAGCTCTGGGCTTCGACAATGTTAATACTGCATTCATTGCTATACGGGGAATAAATTACCTTACATATATTTAAGATAAACTTTGTAACTGTGTTTAAATACTTATTATAACATATATTATTTAATATATTAACGTAGACTTTGGATAATCACCATAGCTGTTAAAGTTGTACAGTTTTTGGGGGCACCCTGTACATGTTTTGTTTATTTTTTAAAAGGAGGAAACTGATAAACTCCAGATGTTTCTGTCAACTGTAGCGAGCAAAGCCAGTGATAGGGGATGATGCAATTTATATCCACCACTTCAAAAGAGCCCAAAGTTCCTCTTTTTTATTAATGTATTTTTATTTTATCCTTATAAAATATAAAATATGGAATAAAAAGTGCTTATTAGGGAGAAAAGGGATGATGTGGGGTGAAGACTCAAGTCAGGCATAAGTTCATATAACAACTATCTTGAATGGAAGTAGCTGAAGAAGAGAAAAACTGGTGTTTTTGGAACAACGGGCTGGCCCCACATCCCACCCTTATCTCTGTGTACTGTAGCCTAATGGAATGAATTATTTACCGATTACATTTGAGGGAGGAACTTGATGTAATCCTGTCTCTCCCACAGTAACACAGCCCCTGCAATCTGGTATTGTTTGACTGTATTGGATTAGATGCCTTGGAACAGTGAACTCCCATAATCCTTAACCAGTAGGACTGATTGTGCTGTGGCCTGAAGTGACAATGCATAGGGTAGCAGCCCTCTGATCCACATTTCATCTACAGCAGGCATGAGCAAATTTTGGCCCACCAGGTATTTTGAACTTCAACTCCAACAATTCCTAAACTGGCTGGGATTTCTGAGATTAGAAGATCCAAAACACCTGGATAGCAGAGGTTTGCCCATGCCTGATCTAGAGTCCTGGAAATAAATATGTTAAAATAAACTTCTAGCCTTCAGTTTGGAGATACAAAGTTGTAGATGAGCATTGGCAGTGTAGATGAAAGGTTTGGAATTCAAATGAAAGCTGTGATGGTTCAAAATTATTTTGCAGTAGTGCTAAGGAATATATCTAGGAAGATACTTTTCATACTACTTGGTCACCTGTTGATAAACTCTACAAGCTAGCTGGCATTGCCCCCCACCCCCCATGTGCAACAGGAAGTTGCTGCTAAATGTGAGAGAAATAAGATTGAACACTGTGAAAGCCACCCACTACATGGCTACCAGCCTCCTCCCAGTAGACTCAAATCAAGGAAAAGCTTTATGAGAACTACCACTCCTCTTGGCGTCCCTCCAGCAACAGCAAGGGTATCCCTCTGGGCAGCTAAATCAGGAAATCCTAACTGGATGGCCCCCCACAAGGGTCTTTCTCCAGGGGCAAACCAAGAATGGGCAACTTGTAAGTCCCTGAATAGACTCAGAAGTGGAGTGGGCAGATCAAAAGACAACCTAGCAAAATGGCACTACCTAAAAGAATCCCACACCTTATGTGACTGTGGAACAGAACAGACAACTCTGCATCTGTATGCTTGTCAATTGTGCCCTGCCTCATGTACAGAGGAAGAATTGTTGGAGGCTACAGACAATGCTGTTGCTGCTGCTTGGTTTTGGTCAAAAGATATTTAGCCACCTGCACACCTTCTATTTTTATCAGTTTTATACTGATTTATTCAATGCTTTTGATACAAAATAAATAAATAATACTACTTGGTAAAAAGAGATTTTATAGAAAGATTTTTTGAAATTATACAGTAGCCTTTTTATGGTGGTGTAATAGATCCCTGGAAAAATTGGGCCTGTGTGTTTATTTATCCTATTTATACCCTGCCTTTCTCAACCCTGTAGGGAACTCAAGG